AAAAAACCGGTATATTAACACCACAATGATAGACAAGACTATTATGCCGACAATGAGAGTAAATCAACAATAATAAACCTAACTAGAGGAGGTGAAAGAATTTCAATGACTTTTTATTCAATGAATTTTTCCTACTAAGTGTTTTTCAATGACCCGTGAGGAATTCACACCGCAAATTCAAGTGAAAACCTATTTTCTTAGCTGGGTAACTGAGCGGTTTGGGCTTAGATTCAGCAAAAAAAGCCCACATCGAGATAATATATAGCTAAGAAACATATAACCTAGAATATAAATTGTACTCATGAAATTGTACTCATTTTTTTCCTCAAAATCTTCAAATTTTCCTCTTTAAATGGATTATTTTCCACTAAATCCTGATTTGACCAATATTTGGCACTCGGAGCTAATCTGCTATCCATAAATAAATGTCTTGAACCAGTCACAAAATGGACAAGGCAAACGGAATTGACCCGAAATATGCCGAAAGAGCGATGTTATGAGATACATCGTCGACTTTTATGGGGGGATATGGGAGATTTGCTGGATATCTCAAATTCTTAAACCCCGTAAAACTAATTTGGGCAGGCGATTATGATCAGATCGTTTTTAAATGGAGATTAAAGTACGTTATTCAATATTCTGTAGAGCATAACGATGAGCGAGATCCATAATAGTGATGTAGAGCTAGCACATGGCTCATCTAGATCCGGGTCACCTGAAAAAAAGTTTAGATAAGCTTCAATTATTCAGATGTGTTGGAGAATTGATATATAAGCTTCAATTACTTGGATATGGTAAAAAAGTATCGATTTTTCGTTCATTTTTGCTATTTTTGGTATATTTCCTGCTATTTAATTTAGTTACTATGAGACCTAACCTATACCTTACCTATATAAGTGTCCGATTGCACCTGTACCTTCTTGCACTGCGAGCAAAACTCTTCGCAAGCCGGACATACAATCACTCCTTCACGTAACCATCCATCGGTGATCTTTAAAAATTCAGCCTAATCTTTAAAAAAT